TTTACCTTTTCTGGATTTCCAATGTCACTATTTTCAATGTCCATTGAAGTTTGGGAGTTTGATTTGCCAGACAAATTTGCTCGATTAGCACGCCAAATCATTTCTGATTCAGCAGCTATAAGCAAATAGGTCAAATCAATGAGGGTCACGTCATGGTCCATCATATAGTACTCTCTAACGAACTCACTATATGATTCAGGAAGTGACTGAAGAACCCAGTCAACAGCCAACATTTCTGAGATATCGACACCCATCATCCTTAACCTATCAATGTGTGACTTCATCTCTAAGATGTGTGCACACACAGGTTTCCCATCTTCGTGTTTACTTGCCAATAGGGCTTGAGTGAGCTTGAACTTTTCAAGCCTTTGAACTTGTGGGTTAGGGAGAATAATTGGAGGAGGTGGAGGAAGTGAAGCATGACTCTCATTTCCTTGATCGTATCGTGGAACGTCATCTTCATTTGGAAAGCTTGTTCCAAGGGACTTGGGAAGACCATTGTAAGATTTAGACATCTACAAAACGGGAGAAAATTCAAGTTAGTTGATAAGAATCCTTGATGTAACACCCAAATGAAACATCAAGGCTAGGATCCAACACAACATTCTACAACCTAGAAGAGGGATGCCGTAATCTAGTTGCAGAATATTTGAAGGTAGGTAAATGACGATTTACCAATTCCCACCATGAAAAACGAAAAAGAAATTTAAGTTTTAAATGAATTGAAACTCCTAGATCTTTTGAGATTCATTGAACTTTTCAATGGCATGTTTAATCTCGATTATGCCCTTCTATTTGTGACTGGGATGCCGAGGATCACAAACAAGGTGTGAATAACCATACGAATCACGTGGTGCACCCAATTGCTACTATCACCTAATCAATGTGCCGGTTAGCCACACACGCTCCATTGATCTATGATAAACATCGAGCCACCCTTCGCCACCAATGTCAATCCCAAATTAGTGTGCCGGTTAGCCACACACGCTCCACTAACGTTTGACAAGGGTACGAAGTGTAATTCCATGGATTAGCATACAAATTCACATTTTGCCCTAAAGTAACTAGAATTTGGGAATTTGTAAAAGCATGTAGTTACTTTGTACTTCATTATACTTATAATGGAAGGTTTCGTCCTATCCTACCCGTTCGGCTAACGACCCTCCACTAGTCAAGAGTGCGGTGGGTAAGAGTGGATACCCATTCAATCGCCATTTTATAGGCAATTTCCTTAAACACCCCTTATAGACCAGCTTCGTGAATGAGGCCTACTAACGGTAAGACTGACTGTTTACTTATACATATATAATATTAGACTTTTAATGTCATATATATAGTATAGGGTGTATTTTACACTTTTAAAATACTAGGTGGTTTTATTAACTTTCCAAAACCATAAGGGTGTAATTTGAACTTATTCAAAATACGAGGGTTTTAGAATTTAACATTTCAAAATTAAACTTTTAATCAACTTTTAAATTCCAAAACTTGAGGGCAAGTTTTGAAACTTTTCAAAACAATTAGGTTTTAATCTCACTTTAAAATTTTCGAAATTTAAGACTATTTAAATTAAAATTTTAAATATTAAAACTCTTGATTTAATAATTATCTTGAATTAAACTATTAATTTAAATTATTAAATCATAAGGGATTATCTAGATCATAAAGGATAATTACCAATTAAACAATTAATTTATCCTAATCCTTTTAATCCCTCTAAATTTCGAAAATCATGGGATAGGATAATTCAAAATCTTTAATTACCATATATAACCATTAAAGGATAATTACAAGATATGGGGTAATCCAAATACCTAAAATTTAGGATCTTATCTTGGGGAGGAGGCTAATTTCGAAAATCATGGGGTTTTACAAACCCTAGATTTCGAAATCTTGAGGCTTAAGGAAAGGATTTGGAAGCCCTTTCAAAATTTCGCAAATTAGGGTATAGAAACCCTAATCTCGAAATCTCTAGCCTCCTAGGGTTTATTGGCTATAAACCCTAGTATGTCAAGTTCATACATTTGAATAAAGCTAATTGAAAACAAAAACGAATGGCTCTGATACCACTGATGGGTTTTATACAAACAATCCTATGTGTGCATGCAACCCTAGAGTTGGATCTATGTTTTCACTATTAGTTATACAACTTTATGAACACAAAAAGAAACCTGGCATGCTAGTACTATTTTCGAAATCCACATAGAAGAATAGAATACATACCTTTTGTTGTTATATAGTAATAACAACTAGTTCCTTGAATTTCCTTAGCTCTTGAAAGCAAGTACCACAAGTGTAGTACCTCTAATGGCTCACAAACACACTAGGTGAAAGGATGAATATGGGAGAGATGAGAGAAGAGTATCTTGCCCTAAAATTCGTCCCTTTTAGGGTTTCCCAAGGCTTGGACGAATTCTAGTGCCTTAGGGTGCTATTTATACTGGAGGCTAGCTAGGGTTTCAAGGTGGAAACCCTAATCCCTTAGCTTAGGGCCTAAGCAAGTCCATGGACTCCTTTCCTTAAGCCCTTGGACGAAAACTCCTAGATCCTTCTAGGATGTTCGTTCAAGCCTTAATAAAGGTGATCCAATAGCCCAAAGTCTCAACTATCAAATAATTACAAAACAGCCCCTGTACTTTTAATTAGTTCCTTTAATCCCAAAATTAATTCCTAATTAATTTCTGATTAAATACTAATTAATAATATGATTCCAAATTAATATATTATTCATATAATATAATAAATAAATCATATTTATGCCCTAATCAACCTCTCTCCTCAACTGTCATCCTGTCTAGTCACCCGTGTGAAGGCAACCCAAAAGGACCATGCTCACAATCGGGTCAAGTACATACCAAATGGTCATCAATGACTGAGATTGATGCTAGATATGTCTACCCAGTTCTCTGTTATGCTAATTTAAAAAAAAAAGCACGAGGTAATTTCAAAACCCTAACTAAGTTGATTGATAAATTAGGGTTCTTGGGTATCTTTTATATTCTCAATTGATTTATTTTCTCTATTGAAATTCTTTTTCATATGTTTTGCTTGCTGTTTTACAGGTTGTATTTTTTTGCTGCCCTATTTTGCATTTTTCATGTACTTCATGTTTATATTGCTCGATTGGAATACATCTAATTACACGGGTTCATTGAACGTACTAATTTCATATGTACCTTGTGGAACATTGATATGCATACAACCTATTTGTTTAAATGCCTAAGCGAGGGTACAGTGGCCATGGCAAAAAAAAATTAATGGATTAAGAAAAGTGTTATAGTGTATGAGTATCCAAGACATGCATTTTTATCGTCTTGTTGTTGACCTATGTTATATATAGCTTATGGGTGCGTCAGTTTATACTTTTGTTTGATTTTGTGCTTTTTTTCATACCATCTTTATTAGTATTGTTATGATTTATCTGTATTAATATATTACATCTTTCATGTCATGTTTGTGTTAGTGTGTGTAGAGAAAGGGAGTGATGGAATGAGTCAATTATTTAACTTTCTTTAGACATGATTGTTAATGAGATAATTATGGAGTTTATATATTTATTTTTCTTAATGCAGGTGCTTGCTGCTTTTTTTAGTTTCAAATGTTGGTGGAGTCAACAATTTACAATACCATTGAAAGGGTCAATGGTATTGTAAATTAGCATGTAGGGATATCATTCTTCAATGGTTTCATTGGAGATGGTTGGATATGTTTTTGCTCAGGTGTTTTCATCAAAATTTGTGGGTTTTGATTGGATCGTATATTAAATTTGTTTGTTGTTCTATCCAGTTCATTGATTTATTGGTTTGATGCTTTTTTGGTGAAGCCCCAAAAGTTAATGTCGTTTTGCTATTTGTCCCCACAATGGAGTAGGTTTGGTTGCTCTTAAATTTAGAAGTGTCAATTGATTTTAGGTGGTTGCTATTAGTTTGATTCCGTTTACATTCCTGCTACATGCTAATTGTATTTTACTTGTATTTGGCTCATTTGTAAAGGTGATTCCGATGATTAACGGTACAATGGAACTATGTTATATTTCGGGAAAACAATGATGAATTAGAAGAATTGAGAGAGTTTCCAAGTAAACAAAATGAGGAAACCGAAGAACTTATGGAAATAATGAAAGCAAAAGATCAACAACACAACACAAAATGCAAGCAGCTTGAATGACAACTACAATCGGCAAAGAAAATTGTTAAGGCTTTTAAAGAACTGCAAAAATAGTAGATAATAGAGTGTTGATTTGTTTATCGCAAAGTATTAATTTTAGATTAACCGCTTTTCATTTTCCAATGTAATACATATTTATTGTTTTATTTTATGATATAAATGTTATTTGATTTTTTTAATTTTTGTTTATATATATTACTACAAAATAATTAGGATTTAATTTGTAAATTAATTATCCATTCGTAGCTATCCAGCTTTGCAACGAAAATATTTCTACGTTATTTTCTATGGAATCTGCTATGGAATATAAACCATGGATTTTGTTAGGGATTCATTACAACGGGTTTAGCTAGAGATTTATCACTACGGATTTTGCTAGGGATTCATCACAACGCATTTAGCTAGGGATTCATCACAACGGATTTAGCTAGGGATTCATCACCACGGATTTCGCTAGGGATTCATCACCACGGATTTAGCTAGGGATTCATCACAATGGATTTAGCTGGGGATTCATCACCATGGATTTTGCTAGGGATTAAATACAACGAAATTTGTGACGGAAGAACTACCACATAATTTGTGATGGAAACCTACTACGGAATAAACGACGGAATACCATCTACCACGGATTTCATTCCGTTGTCACAATTGCGACGGAATTATCGTTTCCGTTGCAAACCCCTCGCTACGGCGTTTTTAGGGACGGAAATAGGTCGTTGCAAATTCCGTCGCTATTCGTCTTTTGCAACGGAATTTCAGCTTTTCGCAACGAATTCCTTCCGTAGCAAAATCGCGTTTTTCTTGTAGTGTACTAGTTAAAGAAAGAATCCTCATTTTAAAACAAAAACACATTATTAAATTGATAGATATAAAATTCTATTATTTTATAAATTACTAAAATAAACAAAAAGCACATTACCCGGATCAAAGTCGACAGTGTTCACCATACAACCTTTAATTGCAAGATCCGCTCCAAATCTATCAACTTTTTCCTTGTATTTTCGCAAATCTATCATCACAACTTGTCTTTGCATCTCAAAATCTCCAAAAAGTAATGTATCAAAAATTCAAGAACCGCATCAATTACGTCGGGATCATGTTGGAGTTGGGAATCCTTATAATGATAATAAGGATTCAAAAGATAAGCCATCAAATGTAATTTTTAAGCTAGCCTACCTTTCATCTTGTGGTTTATGATATCTATAATAGGCTTGTAAGCTTTTTCGTTACCACCCAAAGCTTTCATAATTTCTTCTTTTGCTACTTTAAGCTCCCCATAAACAAAACCCATTGAGGGCTTCCAATCCGCGTCAACCATTCGAAGGACTTTCACCAAAGGGGAAAACACTTTTAAACATTGTGTCACACCGGCCCAAAATTGAAGACTTGTCACTGTTCCATATGAGGCTCTTCCTTTAGGTGTTCCAGAAAATTTGCATTCCTCCCACTCGCTACTAGAGAACATATTTTTCAGTTGCTCCTTCTTTTCGGATAAACTTTGTAATGTTAGAAAGGCGGAAGCAAATCCCGTGACTCCCGGTCGGATAAGTTCCCTTTTCTTGGTGTGGTTTCTCATCATAGCCAAGGTTTTGTGGTGAGCATAAATGAAGATGGTTAATTTCTTTGCTTGATCTAAGACTTTCTTAAACCTTGGAAGTCCACCGATACCTTGAAAAAAATATTATATAACAAATTAACGAATTATAGTATAAGATAAGACATGTAAAAAAGTAAATAATGTAATAAAAAATATAAATACCTTCGAGCATAAGGTTAATTGTGTGTGTCGCACATGATGTCCAAAAAATAGTTGGTCTTTTCTCTTGTAGTAACTTTGCAGCTCCCATGTTATTCGTGGCATTATCGGTCACAACTTGAACAACATGATCGGGACCACCTTGTTGAATGCAAGATTCCACATAATCATATATGTATTGACTTGTATGTGATTCATTGGAACATTCTTTTGATGATATAAAAACGGTACCCATTCTTGAATTTACACATAAATTCATAATGCTTCTTCTCTTTCTATCAGACCAAGCATCTGCCATGATCGAGCATCCAATCTCTTTCCATACTTCTTCGTTTTTTTTCAACAAACTTTTTGTTCTTTCAACCTCATGCTTTAGAAGCGGGTCACTCAAAGAATATCTGGTAGGAGGTGTGAGCCCTATTCCAAATTGGCCAACAACCTCCAACATCATCTTGAAGCTATCATCTTCCAGTGCATGAAAAGGAATTGCAGTTTTATATGCCCACCTACTAATGAATTTATGACACGCTAAAATTCTTTCTTTCCGAACAACATCATTAAGATCAACTTTTTTTCCCTTTCCCTTCATAATTTCAGGGTTTATTTTGTTCACATAGCCATCCATGGGGCCTATATAACTTGGTGCTTTCGACCCTAAAGAATCTTATATTTCATCCATTTCAACACTATCATTTAACACTTGTATTGCCTCCGATCTTAAGGCCTTATCATGTTCGAGTTTAGCATTCTTTTTTATCTTCCTTCGTTAATAAAATTTCGCATTCTCAATTGATCATCTTTTGTAGAGTTTGGACATCGACTTACATTTCCCGGCACATGACCAATATGTTGTTTTAATCTAGTAACCCCCCGGTAAACACTTTTCCACACAAGTTACATTTCACTATATCCATTTTGTTTTTATCCGGGCAAAAACCATATTCCCAACCAATATCATATGAGTTCTGTTTATGAGCACCGCTCGCAGTTGATCCCACTGATGGTGAAGTCGAATTTTTGGATGTCATTATTGGAAACTGTTATATACATCAAAAAAATACATCAAAAATCACAATAAGTTAATAACACAGCTAGATACCAGAACTACAACAATTAATCAAGAACATATACAAACAAATGGGAATGCGGAATTTGGCTGTATTAATCAAGAATAGATGCAACAAGTAGATAATAGCAAGTCAGAAATCATAATAAGTTAACTGTACTACTAAGGGAAGCAATATATATTTTTTTAAACACACAACCACTAAAACTACTCTTAATTCAAAGGAAAACAAATAAACAATATAAATGAATAAGTCAATAAACACTGTACAGTGTTTCATTTTTATTTTTTTTATAAATGCAATTCGAAGGACTAAATGAGACTCAAGCTGATTATGAAGCTCCCACTGCAGACAAGAAGAAGAAGGATACCAGCAAAGAGATTAATGCAGAAAGTAGAAATCGGTACCCAGCAAACAGGTTAATGCAGAAATCGCTATCTAGATACTGAAATAATGAAATAGATACAAACAAATGGGAGAAATATGAAGAACATATCGATTAATATGTAATAGTTGCAGAAATCGCTATCCAGCAAACCGATGGGAGAATTCAACATTTTTTGGAAGAAGTGAAACACATATCTGTGATATGTCGGCTCAACAGTCAACATTAACTCATCAATTTGTGGAAGAAAAACAAATTTAGATGGGAGAAATACGATTTCGGTGCAAGGAGAAACAAAAATCGAATCGTCCAATGGAGGTTCGTCGGTGTCCAATGGAGGTTCGACGGAGTCCGGTGGGCGTCGGCTTCAGTGTATCGCCGGTCTCTTACGCTTTGCTTCAGCGATTGAGAGAGAAGTGAGTAAGTGACAAAAACGGCGACGTGATGAAATGCGATACTAGGGTTAGACGAAATTAACATTTGACTGCCTTTGGAGCCTTTTTTTTTTAATTTTGACCACCTTTGGCATTTGACTAATTTTGACTTCCATTGACCGTCTTTGACCACCAAGACCGCCAAGCCCGTCGTTGACCAGAATTGACCAATTACCTTCAAACACCCCTAATCCTAATCGGTTGCAGAACGTCAGGCGATTAATCCACGATTAATCCCGATTTCGGCAACCTTGACTTAAACCGTCAGAAGTTCAATATATGGACAAATTCATTAGGAGTATATGGATACAAACCATACGAAAGACTTAAGTAAAGTATTAGGTAATAATAAATCCTAATATTCTAAAATACTATATTGCTCCAAATTTTCAGAAGAATGGCTGAACAGGAAGGTAGTCATACACCAGAAGTGGGTGGAGATCCTAAACCTGGTGAAGTAAATACTCCAGTATCCCCTCGTGAGGAGCGACTCTTGGGTAAACTTACTGGTATTATTCGGCAGACTCTCGAAGAGCACAAGAAAGATACTGATAAAGGCAAAGAGAAAGCCACTGGAGAATCTTCAAAAGGAGAGGTGAAGCGTCCCTCGTTCAAAGATTTCAAGAGTAGTGGTGCTATGGAGTTTTCTGGTGTCCTTAATCCTATAGTTGTTCTAACTTGGATTCAGAACACAAAGAAAGTATTTCGTATTTCTCATGTGGATAATGAGGACAAGGCAAATTATGCTTCTGCAATGTTCATCGGAGAGGCCCTGGTCTGGTGGGAAGCAACATTTGAAGCTCTTAAAGAGTATGATCAGGAGAATTTGTCTTGGGGAATGTTCAAAACTCGCTTACTAGAAAAGTATTGTCCTATAGATATGAGAAGAAGATTGGAGAAAGAGTTTCTTGAGCTTAAGCAAGAAGGAATGACCGTGAATGAGTATGAAACTCAATTCAATCAAAGAGCACGATTTGCTGCAAAGTATATCCCAACTGAAGACGATAAAATTCAGTTATTCTTGGATGGATTGCGGTATGAAATCCGCAATTTCGTAGCTAATCGGAATATTCTGTCCTTTGACAAAGCTGTTGAGTATGCTCGAAAGCGTGAGCATGACTTAGAGATACGTGGTGCCACTCTTTTTGTTCCAAAGCATCCACGTATCGATCAATCTGTTCCTGTTTCCTCTATTCCATCAGTTCTATCTGTTCGATCTGATTCTAATACAAGAGAGCAATCTCAGAGCGTCGTTCGTGGTCGCGATAGATCATAATCTTTTTCTATTCAATCGCCATCATGTCGCATTTTTGGAAAGAATCATCCGGGCCAATGCAGAATAGAAAAGGAATTTGTGGTCTGCTATGGATGTGGAGAATCGGGTCACATAAATCCAGCTTGCCCAAGGAAGGATGTTATTTGTTATGCATGTGGTATTACTGGCCACAAGAAGCGTTTTTGCCCTACTCTTACTAGTCAAATGGCGGGGAGTCAAGCTTCCGTTCAACAACCAAAGAATACTCCAAAGGAGGAGGTGCCAAAAGCTAAGGTCCGTGCATTCCAGATTACCGCAGAAGAGGCACGCGAGGACCCGAATGTTGTGACGGGTACATTTCTTGTCAACTCTAGACCTGCTCACATCTTATTTGATTCTAGTGCCTCAGATTCTTTTGTGTCTCGTGAATTTGCGCATTCTTTCCAAATTGCTTGTTATTCATTCACCCAATCATTTCACGTAGATACTGCGGGAAGTATATCATTATTTGCTGATAAAATCTATAGAGATTGTGTCACAGAAATTGAAGGCTATAATTTGCTTGCCAATCTGATTCCTATCTCCTTACCCAACTTTGATATTATTCTCGGCATGGAATGGTTGTTAAAGAACACACTCAGGCGTGAAAAGTGTATTTGTGAAAACTTATGAATGGTGACTTAGGAACTGCGAGACAATACTTGGGACGAGGATGAGTAGGTGTGAATAGTAGTAGAGGCCTATACTACTGGAAGCACAGGACTCACACTTGGATCAGGGAAAGTCACAAGGTTACCAAGAAGCTAGTAATCGATTCCGTTTTTGTTCGAGTATGTCATTACCTTCGTTTCGGTGATGACTAAGAATATGATTTTCGTTCAGACCTAAATGGTCGTAAAGAATCGAGTTCGACTAATATAGATCTACGAAGTGAATTGATTGGTTCAGAGAACCATGTCTCGTGTAGTGACGAAATTTCAGTCAGAGAATTGAAGAATGAGATGGTCAGACGGAGAGAACAATCCAAACAGTAGAAAATATGCTTTGTACATATGTCTCGGAGTTGGTGCGCGTCAAGTGGAAACACCATCGAGGCCCAAATTATAATTAGGAAAATAAGAATGAGATAAGAGCGAAATATTCCCAGTCATTTATATCGTTATGATTTCGGGGACGAAATCCTCAAAAGGAGGAGGTATTTGTAACATACACGTTCAGTTATCGTGTTATGTAATTTTAAAAGTGAATAATATTATGAAATATTAAGTGATATTGAGTATTGAGTTTTAACGGATAGTTTTTACTAGAATTATAGTAAAACTATGTTTAGAATCATTCAGAATGTTTTGGAAGTCTTATGAGATTACGAACAAAAGGCAAATATCGAAATTTAACGAAAATATAAAATTTGAAATAAGTAAAATTTTATTATTGAAAGTTGTAAAGAATCTCGTTAGAAACATTTAGGCGAAAACCTCATCGAAATCCGAGTTATAACGAAGAAGTTATGACCAATCGAAGATTCGCGACAAAACCGGCACGGCGCCGAATGACGTAAAAAGTGAGTTTTTGATAAACTAATTTTTAGCCTTGGTGATCTAAATCAAAGTCTTAGTATTTGTTAAACAAAAATTTTCATAAAAAGAACGTCAAAAGCTGACTTCGTATGAGGAAGTTATGATTTTTCTAAGTATCGGAATAGTAGTAGACAGCTAAAAACTCGAAATAAAGATCGGCCGATATTTATCCAACACAACCTAAACAAGAATCGAAGGTCTCGTCAATAGTAGTACAACGGTAAAAAGATTGACGAAAACGGACGTCGGATGAAGAAGTTATGAATTTTTAACGGATTTTCCTGTCCCGGTCTGTTAAAAATAACAATATTAAAAAAAGTCAAAATTAGCCGACGGAGTCTAAGCGAAAGTTGTAGAGCACAATTTTACCTACGCGTGCATATAAAGAACGTCAAAAACAGAGCGTGTATGCAAAAGTTATGGATTTTAGAAGTTTGGGACACAAAATTCGAGAAAAATGCTAAAACCGAGGAATTTCGCATGGCTCAAGTTCGGCCACGTCACCTCGCCCGCGGAGCTGCCCCGTGTCTGATACCGGTGAGTGATCCGAGGCCAGCTGTCCGACCCGTGTCGCCACCCCTCGCATCCGAAGCGCGGTCCAACCAGCGACCAACGCGTGTAGCGTCCGAAGCTCCTGAGTCTGACGCGTGCCCAGCGCTGTGGCGCGTCCGAGGCTTGACGCGTGTCTTCGCATGCGAGCCCCCACCTGCCCCCTTCCTCCCTCCGGATCTAAGCCTCACATCTACTTCCTCGTGGATTCCTCTCTGCCGCTGATCTTCGGTCTCGCACCCTATAAAAGTGGGGGTTGCTAGATCTCCCGGTTTTTGTTAGAAATTCTTATACTTTTCACCTCAAAACCCGATTTCAAGAAACTTTTAATCCCCCGAAGCCCTGGGATCATACCAAACACCTAAAATACATTCTGAAGTGCCCGAAGACCCTGAGAAATTTATCTTTTCGGTTTGAAGCTCAACCCTCGCAGGGCCCTATTTTCAAGAAAACTCCCAGTTTTCATCGAAGAAAGCTAATTATAGTAACGAAGTGTTGCACAAATTACTATTTTAACCCCCGATTAATTCACGGTGAGTTCAATATATAGGAACAATTGTATGTTATGTGTTATATGTGTTATGTACTTTTCCGTTGTTATTATTTCTGCTATTTATGATAGCAAAGCTATACCTTTGACCATGTGATCAGTGAAA